TATATATAATTTGTATAGTATATCTAACATTATATATATATATACAACATATGACACTATATAAATTCAACTGTAAATTTACTAATGCATTATTAGAATCAAACGTTTTACCTGTTAATATTATTTAATGAACTAAACTAACATGAACAATGAACAGTTGTATTTTTATTAACTAACATTAACAAAAATGAATAAATACAGCAACAAATGTCTTGCTCAATATAGTTAATGCATTCAATAATGTTATTGTAAAGTGTTATTTACATTTAACAGAAAATCGTAATGTGTGTGGGAAATATACTGTAGGAGTTTCAAGTGGTCACAATTTCCTGTTTTCACCAGTTCTACTTCTGCGGTTATTTTAATTAAAGACATATCCATTTTTATAAGAACAAATATTACAGAGAACAAATATTAGTTTATAAAATTCAAACTTTACATTTTGTATTGTTTTATACAATATAAATACAATATATAAAATATATATTTTATACAAGTTTTTATATAAAATAAATTCTAAACTTCTACATAAATAAAAGCTCCATGTATAATAATTAAGAATCCTTTAGCCAGATTATTCTTTAATTAGCACAACGAATCAAGCCCCCCAGCGTGCACACACACACACAATTTAATTTCCATGAAGATATGCCACCTTCTCATCTCTCCTTCACTCTTTCTCATGCTCTCCTTCTCTGTCATCTAATCATCTTCACAAGGCAGGGTTAACCAAGCAGTTAATTATGTCTGGAGAGAGAGATTGAGGAAGTAACTCATGTTATTCGGATACACCTGAGCCAGCACTTTAAGGACTGACTCTGTGTGTGTGTGTGTGTGTGTGTGTGTGTGTGTGTGTGTGTGTGTGTGTGTGTGTGTTTGTCAGAATATCTATGTCTTTAGCGGTGTGTGTATGTGTATGTGTGTTGACCACCCCCTGTCCTTTTCAGCAGTCACAGAGTGGGGTCCACTTTCTACACGGGCATCAAACAAAATGCTCAATAGAACTGCATTAACTCTCAACTCCAAAAAAGAGAAACATTTCAATTGAGACTCAATCAATAAAACACATACAAACCCTCGATCGCACGCAAACACACACGGCCCATGCCTCCATGTTTACCATTCCCTTGCTTTTTCTGTCAAAAGTTGGCACTCCGCCGCATGTGTATATGTGTGTATGTATCGAACCCCCAGCAGGAACTTGAATGCGGTTTATAGACTCTCTTTTACACTCTTTAGACTTCCATGCGCTCACATACACATCGACTCCCTGTGAGGGGCCAACCAACACACATCGATCCGATCCCTCTCCACTCCATGCCTTCCGCCACCATCGCCACTGCTCTCTCCCCTCTCTCTCTTAATTGTGGTTTCCTTGCGCTCTGAGGAGGATCAATGGGCTGATGGCGGGGTAGGCCGAGTGAAGCAGGGGGGTACAGTGGAATCGATTCCCTAGCAGGAGTGTCCCCTCTCCCCTTACCTTCCCTAGGCTCTGAGTCCCCTCCTCCACATTAGCGGCTGCTATGCTAACATTGGCCTCAATGCTGTCAATCTTCTCCTGCTGAGCCTAAGACAGAAAGATGCAAGTTACAGACTGTCCATACTCACATACA